AAAGACTGATATACCTGCAGAATGCTGTGCTGGAGCACTGGTCTCTGACACATCTTAGTGTATTTTTTTCTCTTTTTTTGCAATGCTTTGATTTACTTGGAGCAATATTAGTGCTTATCATTGTGTTGTACCTATGAAAACTACTCATGGATCAGTGTCTCACTGTATAAGATGCTGTGCAAACAGACCCAAAGGACAGATACTTTCCAGGTAGAATTTGAGTGGAATTGTTTTATAAGGGGCATTAAGAATTACTGTTCTTAACACATTGGTTGCTTCAGTTGTAATAGAAGTAAAGGGAATACCCCATGTGAACACACATGCTATTTTTCTTTGCTTGTTTTTACTGTGGCACTCAGGGTTGAATGGGAATATTCAAAGTTAGTTTTCTCCTTATTCTAATAAAGCTGAAAACAGCAAATGCATCTTGGATCATCTATTTACAATGCCTAACAATATACCAGTTTTCAGTATGATTTGGGTGTTTTGGTGACACCTTTTCTAGCCAGAGCTTCCTTGTCTGTACTACAAAATAAATTACCTTTCCTGATGTTTGCTCTAACTAAAACTGCATGATTTAAGGAGACTAATGGCTAGCCAGACTTCCAAGCTGAATAGCTCTCAGAGTGTTCTGTTCTGAATTCCCAGTTTTTCATTCTTAACAACCAAAAAACTGGAGAAAACATGCTAAAAATTTTCCTGTTCCATACCTCTATAAAGTAATCAAGTTTCCAGGAAGAATTACTTAAGATTTCAGTCATCTTTCTGGCTGTCTTTCAAATGTTAGTGAAGTTTGATGTTAATTAGTGGTTATTAGCAAGTTAGACAAGAAGTTAGTGACATCTTTCTTACAGTAATATTGTTTCAAACAGATGTTTTTGTGAAATAACAGGTGTTTAATCTTCAGTAACTTGTAGGGTGTATTTCCTTTTGGAATAAATTGTAACCTGTTTTCTAATCCACCTGGAAAATGATTAGAAAGGTTTTTTGTTTGTACCTGTTAGATATAGTTGAAAAAGACTACGAAGCACAAGCCATGTGCTCAATGAAATACAAATCAGTGCAGGAATTAGAGAAGGCTTAGAAATATTCAGGCTAATATTTTTTAATAGTTGCTTAAAGTTAAGCTCCTTAATCCATACTTGGCCTGTAAGTGAGCTGAACTGATTTTTAAAGTGGTGTGCAGCTTTCAATTCTCTTCAATTTCAATTCTCTTTCAATTCTATGGATCCATTCAGTCCAGCAGGATTAGATGTATGTCAGCATGAATCTCAAGAGGGTTTTGCAGGCCTGTAAGTGCTTGATATTTGTAAGTTTGATATTTGTGTGATATGTAACTCAGAGGAAAGGAAAAAGCCCAAGCTCCCATACAGCGGTGTGAGATGTGGCACATCAACCTTTAGATAGAAGTAGCCACTGAGTATTATGAATATATATGTTGATAATTCTTTTATTTACTGCCCTGCTCTCTTTTGTCCCAGCTACGGAAGGCAGTAATGGATCACATATCGGATTCATTCCTGGAGACCAATGTCCCTTTGCTGGTTCTCATCGAGGCTGCAAAAAGTGGTAACGAGAAAGAAGTGAAGGAGTATGCTCAGGTCTTCCGTGAACATGCCAACAAGCTGGTGGAGGTAAGTGACCTTATTGACACAGCTAGTTTTCCAGGAGAGGCAAGAAAAATTTAATATGGGCTGAAATTTTACAGGTAGTATTTCTGTAATACAGGTTTCAGGTTTTGGTCAACTTTACCCTGGTGATTGCCCAGCAGATGTCTGGATGACTGGCAGAATGGAGCACATGCTGTATTTGAGTAGTTCATTAAAGCAATGAAACATGTTAAAAATGGTGTTTCCAGTATTTTAGCAGATGTTATAAGCAACAAGAAGTAAATTTCAGTTCAGCTTTATTAACAGTACAATAGATCTTAGTGTCTAAGTAAAAAGCCAAATAGGTGCTTCACAGTAGTGTGTCTGGTACTGGCCAAAGGCTGCTCTAGACTTGAGCTTGTCAGTCTGAACTAACATAGGGAAAAGGACATGAAAAAATGCATAGCCTTAAGACCATACTTACTCAGAAAGGTCTGTATTACACATGCACACGTGTATATATAGTATCTTCTCTTTCTGAAGAGATGTGCTCTGTAAAGTCAACAAATGATGGTTTCAGTTCTTCAGGGATGATAGTGAAATAGCTCTGTTCTACCATAACGAGTGTAAAACTCAAATTTAGTTACTGATTTTGAACAGTTATTTTTAGGTAACTCACCAATAAAACAATGATGATAGTAACAATAGATGTCTTGACCATAATATTTTTATTCCATTTAGGTTTTCAGAACTATTAGAAACAGATCCTTAATTGATTCTTCTATGTTTCTGACATCTAGTACAGGCCTGTGGGTTCATCTCTAATTTTTTCCAAGGATGGGTTCTTTTACATGGATCTTAGTGTCTTATCTCTAAGAATTCTTTCTGGTTTGGGCAATAAAATATCTTGAAGAAATTAACTTCTAATGCAAGTGTAATTTTGAAACTCAAATTTCAGGTTCAGACTGCACAAGAAAATAAATATTTGGAGTAGATTTATGTTCCTTATGCACTGGATTTTTGCACTTAAAACAGTTTCATAGTTTTTACTTAATGATGCACAATGGCATCTTAGCAGATGGGCTTCCATGGTTTTGTGGGTCAAGTATTTTGCAAATAGTAAAATGTAGTTTAAAGATGAGACATCATCAAGTGACTATGAAATGCAAGATCCTTTCCTAGGCAGAGGGCCAAAATTGCTTGCTAATATATGCAAACACAGTTCCACCAAAGTATGTGGAGTTGCACTTGCTTATGCTAGAGGAATTTGGCACTGCAAATCCAATGCTGTGAAAAGTCTAGGATATTAATCATTAATTTTAAAATCGGAATCTGAATTTCTTGGATGTCTTGCCAAGCTCAATAGAAAGTCTATCAAAAGGTCAGGAAAAATAACCCCTGTTTTAATACTTCTTCATGTAAAAGCGACTTTTTACCATTCTGAGGAGAAAAAATGCATATCTGGATATTTGATGAATACAAATGACAACATTTTCTTTGCATAGTCAATACACTTTCAGAAATACACGCTGTAAGAGTGAGGCTTCTGCAAGTTAACTTTCTTTAATAGTCCATATTACAGAATGCTTAATTCTTCTTTTAAGAGCTGTTTTCATTATTTATGTATTTTCCCTGCCTCTTATCATAACACTTTGTCTTTTGCATTTCACTTGACTTGCTATGATATGCCTCGTTTGAGAACAATAACTGTGAGGATGAAGTCTCATTTTTTTTTCATAGACAGTCACTGACAACCACTTTTGTCTATGAGTTGTTGGAAACCCAGAGTAAGGTGTCATACCATGAAACATGAGGCTTTTTATCTGTGATACCTATGTTCAGAAGCCTTCTTCTCTTGGGCTTCCTCCAGGGTCCAAGGAGGCAGAGCATCTCAAGAATGAGACTCAGCTTAACGATGACATAAATCATCCAAAATTATTCATTGTCATATGGATACTTGAAGTAAAAAATAACTATATAAATAAAACAGAACAGAATTTAGATGGTACCATTCCAGGCTTGGATGGCTAACTCTTTCTTCAAATCAACACTCAACAACCATCTTTCAGATCTGGCTTCTGAAACTGAAGTTAGAGGACTGATGGTGACTTTCCTAGTCATGATCTTTATCTCATAAATCCCTTTAATGTTTCTAAAAAATTTATCTCCAATGATTGAAAGTCAGTAAATGCCTGAATTGTATTGCTGCCTTCAAATGTGACCTTGGGAAGTCATTTAATTTCTGTATCCAGGTACCTTCGTTTGGAGCATAAGGTTAATGACAGATAATTCTAATCCCTACCACACAAAGGCTCTTGACTGATAAATTGGCTCCGATGTATTCACTGCATCTATCAAAGTTCTGTGTGGCAGCCAATTAAATAATTTTTGTTATTCTGTTTAGTAAAGTTTCCTTGGTTTAACTGTTGGTCTTTGGAACTGTCTCTTGCAAAAATAAGTTATTAAATACAACCAGTGTTTGTGGGAGATGAAATCCAGCATCCAGCAAGCTCTTAAGAGCCATGATAGCAAGCTGTTTTGTTACTTTCAACAGGTAACATCAAAATGTTTAAAATTTAATGAAGAACTGTGAAAACTGTGATTATAGGGCCTTCTAGTTAAATTATTGGTTTGGATCAACCTTTTCATCCTCACAATGATGGAGAAAAGTCCAAGGGTTCTACTGCTGATATAAGTTTTTGAGGATTTTAATATTTTTGTGGGAGGACTTCACCATGTGGTGATCAGTGAACATTTACCAAAGTTAAACCCAGGCTTTATTCTTCCTTGAAACTTATTTCCAACAAAATTGGAACGAAGGGGAATTTTGTTCTTTAGCATGAACTGATGCAGCAAATTGAAAACTTGACTAGTAGAAGAACTGTGTTAGTCAATGGTTTATGGTGATTAAACCTTGAGGTAGTGCAAGCAAATCAATAGGATCACAAGGTTGTATGGTAATTTGTAGCAGGTGAAACCTAATAACAGCATTTTTTTTTTCCCTTTTATAGTCTTGTTGTCTGTTAGGCTTGCAGGACTCTAACTTTCTCCTGTCCATGTAATTGCCACTTTGAAGAGGATATTGGGGTAACTTTTGTGAGTTTAAGGGATTTGCTTTTATCTTCTACAACATCAAGGAAAAAAGCTCGTTTGGACTTTTCTGAGACACTGTGCAGGCTACCCTTCCTTTTCCAAGAACTGTATTATTTCTCAGTTCCCTAATTCAGATTGATTGCATGTTTTCCCATCATAATGTGGAAATGGGCATGCACACTGCAGACAGGAGGGGGAAAATAGCTACTAGCATGCACAGCACACAAAACAAGTAATTGGACTTGCTCAGTGGCCTCTGCTTCCTTGATTTTGGGATGAGAGGAGAGGGGGAGAAAAATGTTTAAGCAAATTTTACTGCGGTAGTAAATTTTACTACAGAATTTAATCTAGACTTAGCTCAGCACAGAACTAATACTCAACCCAGTCTATTTTTTTTTTCACTCCAGAAATATCTCTCAGTAAAGCACAGAGAGCATTTGGCCCATAGGGGACACAAAGTTAGTCTTTCTCTTAGGGAGTGAAGATCATCTGTGTATATCTGAAATGCACTTCAGATTACTGGAGCTCTGACAGTTTAGTGTGGCATTCTAGCTCTCTTTTAGGAGGTACTAATGATCTTCATAAGGAATATATAATGGTTTGTTTGTGCTTTTGTAAATATTATGTAGGGTCATGAACTGAGTTGGATTTTCATTTAAGACAAACAAAACCCAAAGTAACAAGCCTAAGAGGAAAAAAATTAGCTCATTTATTGCTGCAGCTTTAGTTCAAGGAACAAAAAGTGTTCCTACTGATACATTGCACAAATACTGTCCATACTTGCAATGTTCTATTCTTTAAGTGTGTATCACTGCATTATCAGAGCATACAACTAGCTGTTTGCTTCTGGTAATGGAGAAAGTGTCAATATTCTTTCACAGCTTCTGTATCCAACTTCCATCATGAAAAATTTATACATCCCTGGGTTTCTTTTTACAGACTGATCAGCTTTTATTTTCATATTTGTCTTTTTGTTGATATTAAGCTAGATAAGAAATAATATTTAGAAGCTAGTAATCCTTTGTTCTAATCAAGGAGTGTTAAGAAGGTCATAGATTAGTTTAATTCAAGTCCTTCAAGTTCAGAGATTTTATTTGAAATTCAAGCTGTGGGCTACCTCTGTGTCCTAGTGTTTCATCTGCTCATTCTAGTTTTAATTTCCATCTCAGGCCTTTCTTCCCTGCTTGGGCAACAGATGTTCTTAATTCCTAGTAAACATCATGAGTATATTGACAATAGCTAAAACCACGAGCCCAATTATCTGCAATGAGAGCATGAAAAGCTTGAACTCTTTCCATTTATTTCTGAGTCCCTGCTGCAGCCAGATCTACTTAGTCCATCTCTTCACCTTGGAGGTGTATATTTCTTAGAGGCAAAGTGAATTCAAAGTCTTTCAGGATAAAAACTTTCTGGTAATGGTATGTCATTGGTGAACTTTTCATGCTGGCTTCTTTACTTACATTAGCCACTGGATATTGGTAGTCCACTGGGATCTATGCCAGTTTCATCTGCTGGCTTCTAGATTAACACTGAAATACAATCAAATTACCCTCTAGAAAAAGTAAGGCACAGAAGTTCCTGCTGCTTTGTGACTTTTTGAACCTCATGTATACCTGTCCCTGAAGAAGATAGGTTATTAAAGGAGCTGAATAATCAGTGTCTACTATTCCAAGATTGCTTTTGCCCCAAAGCCATCTCTGCCTTAAGCAATATGGGTCCATCTCTGAGGCTTACAAAATCTGCTGTAGGAGCAAGCAGTTGCAGAGCCTGCCTGTGATCTGCAGGCTGCATCTTTAACATGGAGACATGGGTGAAATTATTTAATTTGGCAATGGAGAATTTGGCTACAGCAGATGCTGAAGGCCCTGGGTGCTGATCCCTCAACATTGCCCTTAGTTTTCTGGCGAGACTCAGGAATCCAGGATGGCTGAAAGGGGAAGGCGCTTTCTTAT